AATAAATAAACACAGAGCCCGAGTACCATGAGAAAACGATTGGCGGCAAACGGCAGACGATGACGTCAGAGTGGCATGCCGAGGGCGCATTTTGGTTCCATTCGGCTTTTGGCTGTGCAAATTTTGTGTATTCAATGCCGGAATCCGCCAACACAACACATGGTGGCGACCAGGCCAGGCCAGGCCAGGCCAGAAGCTGTCCCGCCGTCCCCAACAAAAAATCCGCACAGACGACAGACAATAGCGGCGGCGCGGCGCTCAGTTGTGGGCGCGCTCAGAGATGGGAACTCCCATCACGGTGACAGCGGGGAAAAAGTGCATCAACGAAAAATCATTGCGATTAGGTTTTGAATCGTTTCGGAATCGATTCTAAATTAATATATTAATCGGTTCTGATTTTTTGTTTTGTTTTGATGAATATTTTCAACAGCTCCATTTCGAAGCTGATCCACAAAAGTGTCTCCATAATTCCAATACTTTCCCCAACGATCGAGTCACGCTCCACTCACGCTCCCATCTCTCGACACAAAGGCGACCTCAGCGTCAGCGTTGAGGTGCTGCCTGCCTACCTGACTTTTTTTTTTTTTGCTGCTTCTGCCTTTGCTCTTCTTCCGCTCCCCAATATGAGGGGCAAGGGGAGCAGCTACGCAAATTTTGCGCAAAATGGCAACACTGGCGGTTAAAACAGGTTTACTTTTTTTTTTTTTTTTGGGAGTCGCATCTGAAAAATATGCAAAAGCCAACAACAAAAATCGTAGAGAAATGTGTTAATTGAGAAAGGTGCTCAGCTCAGAGTGAGAAGTAGAATTTCCAGCCATAAATCAAATACTGAATGAATCGAGAGAGGGCAAGAGATAACGAGAGAGGGAGAGCGGCGAAAAGAGAAGTGTAAACAAAAGCAGAGGACAGCAGCATCCGCTCTGCTCTGGCAATGCCATCATCAGTGTCGGCAGAGCGGAGAGAGAGAGAGAGAGAAGAACCGAACAGAAAAGAACGAACACCAGACGATGGTAGGTGTGAGCGAGAGACAAGACCGATCTTAGCCCAGTTATCCCAGCTGTGAAAGGGGTACCAAAGGGTGTATCTGACCCCGTGCAGACAACAATGTGACATTTGCAGAAAAGTATCGAATAATCATAGCAACAAATCATTGAACCTTTAAGAATACCATTTGAATATTTATAAAAAATTAATTAATTTCCAGGGTACATGCCACATGTTAATCAGCCCATTCCATTCCTAGGTGGGACTTGATCAATAACTTGTTTCTGGCTTATTGAACAGCATTTATTAGAGAGAAAAAAAAGAGGTGGAAAATGAAAAGGAGATGGGAAGGGGAGGGAGAAGCAACAACTTTGTCGCCGCTGCTTTCACAAGAGTGCCACACAAAACCGTTACAAATTGGCTTGGGAATGTGGCAGAGGTGGAGAACAAAAAAAAAAAAAAAAAAAAAAAAATAACTACGAAGACATCATCAGCCAACGAGCAGGATGGCAACAGGCAGAAGCCGCTTGCAAAATAACAGATCTTCGGGGAACTCGTTTTGTGATCGAACCGATTGGAGTTCTAACTGGAAGGCAATGACCAGGGGGGAATGGGCATGGGCATGGAAGGGAACGGAACGAATATGATGCTAAGTGTGATCGCTGATCGGATTTGCAAGTGCAGTTCCAACTGGGAATCAATGGATCGATATACGGTAATTTCCCTCTCATGCACGCATCGCTGGATGGACGACTGGAAGTGCAGAGGTTCCAACTGGAAGCGGCTTCATGCTAATGGGATGAATACCACTGGAAACGGGGCATGGGGCTGGCTGGTGTGTCGGTTCCCCAAACACCCCACCCATTGCCATCAGTCGCTTGGATAAAGACGGAAGTGAGCGACTTGCGAGACACAAAGAAAAGAAGCCAGTAACACAATACCTTTTGCATGTGTGTGTGTGTGTGTGTGTGAGAGGAAAACCTTTGACTGCAAAAACGGTGGTTGGAGTGCTATAAGTAATTTTCACACGCTTTGGAGGGCTGTGCGAGAGGGACATAAACACACCAACACCAACACACACACACACACACAAACTTTTTTGTGATTTATGAGCAGCTGCAGTCGAAAATTATTACGTTGTCTCGCTCTGTAGTCCAGCGGCTTTAACTGATATTTCAATGCAACGATGAATATGGGTCCGTGTCTGTGTGTGTGTGTTTGTGTGCGCAAAAGAAACAACCGCAAGAAAGAGCAATCTTTTATTGTTGCTCCCTTAAACAATTGTTAAGCGGTTTTTGAAGCAACAAATGGCTGACGCCCGCCAATGCTGCCGCTCTCTGCAGGCCGGTTAATGACTCACACTCTGAAGTCTCGCTCGCACTTACATACTCTCCAGTTGAAGTCTTACACACACACACACACACACACTCGCCTCTCCAGTCAAAGTCTCACTCACACTCAAACCAGTGGCCTATACCGGTATTTCAGCATTACGCTACACACACACTCGGACAAACTCATTCTCCTTCTCGCTTCTACCAATTCCCTTTTTTATGGCTGCATGATCGTTTACATAGCAAATTAATTGTTATAAATTGGCAAAAAGAACAACTAATTAACGCACCTCCGTACCCCTGCCGCCAACACACTCACCTGACAATAAACAAAAGAAAGAGAGAGCTGTACGTAAATAATAACCAACTCACTTCACACACACAAACACACACACCACACACACAAACACACACGACGTATGCACACGAGAAGGCCAAAGAGTCGACGGTTCTTTTGTTGCTATTGCTGCTGCGGCTCTATATATGAATCGTCACAATATATATTTCGAGATATATAGTAATTTGATTGTTGTTGGCGGCACACAGAAAAAAAAATTTACTTCGTTGTCGTCGCTGAGCAACACGAAACACGAATAAAAAATATACAAAAAACTACAGCGGCGCTGCTTATGCCGGGTGGTCATTGTGTGTGTTCGTGTGTGCATGAGTGAGAGTGGCTCTGTGTGCGTGTGGCGGCGGCGGTGGCGGCTTGCTTGTTGCGCTTTTTTTCTACAATGCGTCGGAATTTTTCAACTTACAATTTTTTCGTTGGGGAAACACTTGGTGCACGTAAACGGATGCTGCACATTAAGTTTTTCGGCTTCTTGATTTTTCCCAGTTGGGCGCACAAATCAAATGAAATCAAAAAACGCAAAAAAAAGGAGCGAAACGAACGAAACAAAAACTGTTGGCGCACGGGGAATAGGGAAGGGCGCGTGACCGCGTTCAACGTTGTTCAACAATCGATTGATCGATAGGCACTATGATATGTGCAACTGCCAGCGCTGCCAGATGCAGCCAAAGAGATACCTTGCCAATTTGAATTTGACCCACAATCCAGAAAAGTGAGAATCCTAATTTTAGATTTGGATGAAAAACAAAAGAAAAACAATTTATTTCGATGGGAGGTGAATGATTTTCGATTAAGAAACAAACAAAACCGTGCACAGCATTCAATGCCGGGCCCCGGCCATTTCTTTTTTGTACATTTTGTCGACAGACAGTCACGGCTATAAATAATAATGAATCAGATCCTAATTGTTGTCCAGGGCAGCGGCAGCGGCGGCCGCGGCCCGTTCGAGCTCCTGCATCTGCTCCCGCTCACGCACCAGCCGCTCCCTGCTGTCCTGCGGATTGAGCAGCACCTTCACCAGATGCTCCACGGTCGGCCGCTCCGCGGTGCAGTAGACCTTCTGGCCCTGCGACTCCAGGGCACGCCGTGTGCTCGGCCCGATGGCCACCAGCTTCCAGGGCTCCAGCGAGATGTTGTGCGCCCGGAAGTACTCCATGGCACAGGCAACGCCCGAGGGCGAGAAGAAGGCCAGAAACTCGACGCTGTCGCCGGCCTCCTTCAGTGCCCGCTCCACGCACTCGCCCAGCTGGGGGCTGCACTTCGTTTCATAGACCTCGCAGGCGTCCACACAGAAGCCGTTCTCCGCCAGCTTCGAGAGGAGGGTGTCGGTGGCCAGATTGCCGCACGGCAGCAGCAGCGGCAGGTCGCGCGACCCATCGAACGTGTCCACAATGTACTCGCCCAGGTTGCGGGCATTCCCCGTCTGCTTGCCGTGCGTGAAGAGCTGCTGCAGCGTGCTGAGGGCCAGGTTGTGGGTCACCTCACCGACGGCATAGTTATGCAACAGCTTCCAACCACCTGGCAGTTCGCCCAGCTGCAGCGCCTCATTGACGGCCTCCACGCACCGCGGACTGGTGAATATGATGCCCGCGTATTTGTCCGGCGTCTGCAGCTTGCCGCCCAGCTCCTGCAGGTTCTTGAAGCCGAAGCACAGCGTCGGCACGAACACCGGATTGAAGTTGTGCCCCAGCAGCGTCTCCGCGTACACATCGGTGCTATCCGATTCCGATTTGAAAATAATCACCGTCCGCTGGCGGCTCGTCATGATGCCTGTTTGTGTTTGTATTACTGTTTCTGTTTCTGTTTGGGGCCGTCGATGTGGGATTCGTCGTTCGATCAGATTTATTGGACGCTCGCTCGGCGCCCAGCCTCGTCGAAATAAATTGTCGCTGCCGAGTGGTGTTACTGCCCCGCCGCTCCCGCCTACTCTGTGGCGGTTTTTTTTTTTTCGGCTATTGGCTGTCTGCTGGCGGCAGTGACCGAAAATATTTGCATTTACTTTTAGCCTGCCCGCCGCCTGCTGCTAAAATTGCACTTGCACTTTTGGTCACCTCTCCTTCTCCTCTTACTGTTGCTTGCACAAATTCTTATCATTGTGGCGGGGATGCCAGCCTAGCTGGTTTTGATGGCTGCGTGGTGGCGCTGCCAGACTGGTACCTATCAACTATCGATATGTTTATTTCTGTAAATTATATGCAAATTTAATTAACAATTTTACGTTTGGTTGAGTTAATTAATTAATATTTATGGTACATCTCAAATTCACGAGAATCTGCATGACTTGCTTACTTAAGTGGTATTAATTTATCGTGCAAAGACTATCGTTTATATCGATATAATATGCAAGTTCTAGGATCGACGTTAGTCCTTCTCCTGTCAAGTATTTTTCTGCAAACTTTTGACGACGTCGTAACTCAACTAAAATGTAAGTGCAAATTGCATTATTAAATGCAAATATATTGTAAAATAAAAAAGTTTGGCCTATGCAAAAGTCTGCAAATTGGAGACCTTAACGTATATGCACGTACACAAGTGAATATTTCCTTGTCGCTCTCCTTGTATATACGTATTAGAAGTTTTTCGAATTTTGTGTTAATTGTTATTGCACTTTGCGTGTTTTCAGAAAATTAATAATACAAGATGTCGCTGAACGTAAAACTACAATCATCCGATGGAATTATCTTTGACACACCGATCAAAATCGCTATAAAACTTAAAATAATTCGCGACATGCTGAATTTCTGCTCAGACGATAAAAGCGATGAAATTATTGCCATCGACAATGTTCGTTCAAACATACTGGATATGGTGCTGACCTGGATCGAACACCATTTAAACGACGATATGGAGACTTTAGTCAAGCATACAAATTTTACCATCCCAGAGTGGGATAAGACATTTCTAGAAATACCGAAAACAGATCTGGCCGATTTGATTATTGCGTGCAATTTTCTGAACATCCAGCCCCTGTACTTGATTGCTTGCAAGACACTGGCCAAGATGATAGATGAAAAATCTGTCCAAGAGGTTCGTGAAATAATCAACATTCCCGAGGAGGGACCGAACTGATACGTGGAGCAGCGTTGGGGGGACAAGGTGGAGATGCACAGCATCATTTATAAGCACACTGCGACACCATATACTAAACGTTTTACAAAAAGGATTATTAATAAAAATTAAATTTTGGGAGATTCATAATTCATTTATTTTGCGCTGGGAGCTTGCCGGCTTCGGCCTGAAATGAGGAGGCCTTTGCATTAATGTCTGTACACATTCTCAAGCGGCCATACAGTATATAGAACTTATGTATGCCTGTACATATCTAATTTATATTAATCCCAACCAGTCTATGTACTATATAGTTGGTGGATTGGCATTAACAACAGATATATCGGTTGACGTTATCGATACCCATCTCCAAGAATATGCAAGGTGTCGGACGTAGAGAGGGTACAAACAAAAATCGAAGGAGCTAAAAATAACGACTTAATTCGCTGAATAATAAATGAACGCTCGAAATTCATTGAATTGAACGATTTGTTTTATTTGTTTTTGTTGTTTATATATTGTACTGGAACAAAGTTTGCTTATCTGGGGTTGCCACCCAGCCAGTTTCTACCCTGACACTCGCAATGGCTACCCACAAGTAGGCAGGCCCAGTGACATGTCAAAGTAGCTCGAGGATATAGCATTGACTTTTAATGATTTTTCGTTCTACCACAAAACCAAACGAACAAATTAGACTTCGTAAAATTAAAAACTTGAATTTAACGAAACTAAACGCACAATAAACCGAGAATGTGGCCAATGACTGGAGCTTTGTGGCTGCTGCTGATTGCCGCATTTGCCGCCAATAAAGCCGCCGCTGATGGAAAGGTAAGAGTTAGGGTCCTGCGCCACACTCAGCTAATGCCCTGCCCATATGTAGCAACCAGACCTGAACACGCCGGAGGAGATGAGGCGTCGCTTGGGCCTGCTGGTCGATCGCATGGACGAGGACAGCAATGGACTGGTGTCGCTGACAGAGCTGAAGGAGTGGCTCAGCCAGACATCCCGACGCTACATCGAGAACGATGTGTCGCGCCTGTGGAAGCGTCTGAGTCCGGAGAAAAATGCCACCATCACCTGGGACGTCTACCAAGATTCCATTTACGGCTTTGGCACTGGAAATGGTGAGTGTGGCAGAGCAGTGGCGTGGCGCGTGTGTGCGTGGAGTCTCACATGCATATTTTGCTTTAGATTTGACTAACTACAAGAGCCTCATAAATCGCGATCGTCGCCGTTGGAAGGTGGCCGATAAGAATCGCGACGATTGCCTTAACCGCGAGGAATTTTCGGCTTTTCTGCACTCCGAGGACCATCCCGCCATGCGCGATGTTGTGCTCAAGGAGATGTTCGATGACCTGGACGTGGACCGCGATGGCAAAATCTCGTTGGTGGAGTACGTCTTTGACATGTACCAGCCGGCAACGCCCGATGAGCAGCCACCCGAGTGGGTGGGCAACGAGCGCGATGTGTTCGTCAAGTTTCTCGATCTCAATGGCGATGGGCATTTGAATGAGGACGAGGTGCGTCAGTGGATTGCGCCCCATGGCCTGGGCCAGTCGGATAGCGAGGCGCAGCATCTGCTGACGGTGGCCGATGCCGATGGCGACATGCAGCTGACCAAATCGGAAGTGCTGGCGAATTATGATACATTTTATGGCTCACCGGCCACCGAGTATGGCGATGCTTTGATCGTACGCCATGACCATGATGAGTTGTAGGCCAACCACAGACCATCCACACCACCCAACCACCCACAGCAACACCCCACCACTCACAGCAACACCCCACACCCCAACACCCCAGCACCCCACACCACCCACAGCAACACCCCACCACCCCACACCACCCACAGCCACCCCACACCCCACACCACCCACAGCAACACCAAAGAAAAGAACAGGGATAATTTTTTGTGTTAATTATAAAATTTACTATATGTTTGTATATCCCAGAGATATATAACCAATTAAATATGTATTTCGAGTGCTTCCCGTCTTTTAGTTTTATTTTAAGGTAAAAAATGAACACAAGGCCTAGGCTAACCTATGGGGCGGCGGGTGGCGCTCATCCTTAAAGCTAAAATGCAACCATAAATATGTATAGTTATATCCGGGGGGGGCATAAAAAAAATCATCACTGTGTATAAACAAAAGGCGTCTAATATTAAATTATATAAATATAAATATAAGCGTACGTGCGTCGTGTATGCTGCTGGCAGTGAAGGGAAACAACACGTAAAAAAAAATAGCCAAAAAATAGGAAGAAAAACAAAATCAGTGTAGCTGCGTGCGGGCATTGCCCTCGACCCAATTTCCGCAGCAAATCTCCCGGCTGCAGTGTGATGCCCTCGCGCGCTGTACGCTGGCCCGGATAATCCCAGGCGGAGCTGCCTGCCGCATATGACAGTCCGGGCGAGGGTGCGCCCGACGGGGCGTAATAGGCAGCCGCAGCCGCTGGCGCAGGCAGTGTGGGATTCCATTGCGATTCCGGACGGTGCTGCGACTCAAAGCCCGACGACTGCGAGGAGGTGCGCGAGAGTTGCTGCTCCTTTTGGTGGCTCTGCTTGCTGGCGGCACACTGCTCGTAGACATTCGGATTGATGCTGTGCGTGACCACCCAGGCGCCCACATCGCGCTCAATCTGCGGCACAGCCGGCAGCCGCGAGGGCATCAGCAGATTCTGCGTGGAGCGGCCGCCGTTCAGCTGCTGCACTTGCTGGCCGTTCAGATTGGTGTGCCTGTACCAGTGTGCGGCAGGCGATTGCAGCGACTCATTGTGGCCCATTGTGGCAGTAGCAGGCGCAGGGGCAGGGCCCGGCCGCCAGTTGGCAGTCGAGTAGACAGTCGATGGGCCACGCCGGCTGGACAAATGCAGCGATTCCATGGAAAGGCCGGTGGGCGATTTTCTATTGTGATTGGCCAAGCCACGCGGACGTAGCGTGCTGATGCCGCTCGAGGGCGAAACATGCGACAGATTCCGGACGCTGCCATTGGGCAGAAAGTTGCGCGAGTGCCGCAGGCTGGTGATGCCGCTCGAGGGCGAGCCACCGCTCTGGCTGGACATATTCGGGCCGCTGCAGGTGCTCAGCTGTTCGGTGATCATGCCCAGGGTGTCCTCATCGGCGATGCACTCGTCCGCGCACAGTCGATGGAAGCTCTCGCTGGCCGACTCGTTCTGGTGCATCTGGCTCAGCAGATTGGCGCGATTTGTGGCCAGCAGCACGAGGGTCAGCCCACTGCCCAGCAGCTAAGAACAGAACAAAAGAGTGAAAGATTAGAATCCATTTCCCTATGTCGTTTGTTTACTCACAATAAAGGTAATGCCATCGATGTAGGCTTGCAGCAGGGCTATGCCCATGGCATAGTTACTCCACAGCAGCAGGATGAGCGTAAAGCGCGTCAGCCGCAGGCCATTGCACAGCTTGTGGCACAAGCTAAGCGCTAGCATCGCATACGGATAGATGCCGGTGAAGCAGGAGCTGAATGTCGCCTGCTGCACCTGCTGCTGGCTGAGCCCGCACGAGTAGAGCAGCAGCTTGCCAAAGGTGCGAGCGTAGAGCAGCAGTTTGGCGGGCGCAACAGCTGCCCGCTGTTCCAGCATGCCGCCGACAGCGTCAGCCGTCACACACAGCAGCGCCACCACGTGCGAGTACAGGTAGAAAAGTGCAGAGCCCAGATGTTCGCCCAGTATCGTGTGAAACTGTTCGCGTGTGGCTGGCGGCATACTGCAGAGCAGGCACAAAATATTGCCCACCGTCAGCAGGGCCATCCACAGCTGATAGCGATGCAGTTTCTGCTGGCGCTGGGCACTGGCCAGCCGATTGAAATGCGGCTGCTTGAGCAGGGCGGCGCCCTTGATCAGGAAATTCAGGATCTTTGGATTTAGCACCATTTTCTTCTTCTCGCGCAGCACCTTGTTCACATGTCGCTCACAGCTGCTGCACAAACGGAACTGATGCTCCAGCTGCTCCCTGTGTGTGGCATAGAAATTGATATGTTATGGTTTGTTTTGTTGCTGCCCCCCCAATTCTGCACTGCACTCACTGGTAGACCTTGAGCTCCCGATCGTAACGCGACTCATGCTTGGGCTCGAACTGTGCGAGTTTCTCAACCTTCAGACGCTGCGACTCGTTGCACTGATCGCACAGGCCATTGTTGGGCGTCTGCTGCATGGCGGCGGAGCTGGCAGCCATGGTATCCGGATAGTACGAATTCGCACAGATGCTTGTGGCCGCGGCCGTGGCCTCGCCACGCGACGAGTTGTGCTTCTGCGACGAGCTGGAACTGGAACTGGCACTGGTGTCGCGCTGCAACAACATATCCCGATTGTAGTCGCCATCCTTCGTGAAGCCATTGTACTGTACGCAATGCGGACAGGTCCAACTATTGCGCTCCACATAACGCACCCGTGAATTTTTATTGCAAAACCAGCAATTTACTGTGGCATCGTAGCGGGAGCTGGCAGAAGGCACCACACAAATTAATTATCATAAATAATTGCACTATGCACCCCACCCCACCACACTCACCGTATATTTTCGTATAGCCTTCTCAGAATAACGCAGAATACTAATGAAATTGCTAGAGCGGGAGGCACTAGCTTGAGCATCTTTTTGATGTACAGTTTCACACCGGTGACTTGTCTGCACTTGTTTTTCACTAGTAATTTGCTAAAAGAACTATATTTTAGCTAAATTTGAAGGACGCCGGATTAGGAACAAATTTTTTCGCGCGCGGCGCACCATAACCTCACTTTTTTTTCAATGCGGTAATCGATAGACACCAGAGTCAGAGCATGGTGGCCCGCATTAAAGGTGTGGGGCATTCTGACTATCGAGTGACGTCACATTTTCTGTATTGCAAGTGATGCACAAACCCAAACACAAAAATTTATTCTTGCATAATAAATATTTGTAAAACAGAAAAAAACATAAGTAAAGCATAAATTCCAAACAAAAAACTTCCATTGCAATAAAACAGTCGATAGTATGCACTTATCGATATAGCACGCATATCGGTTGCAGGCCATCACTATGTGTTTTCTTTTGAATCGGCGCATTGCACGTGTTTCAAGTTGAAATTGCAATTTTGTTCGCGTTTTAGCCAAAGTAAAGCCTAAACACCTCACCTCACCATGCAGCACGACGATGTGAGTACAGATTGGGTATGCTTAGGGCAGATCATAATTATATTGCTTATATTACAGGTTGTTTGGAGCATTATCAACAAGTCCTTCTGCTCGCACAAAGTCAAGTAAGTGGAACAAGCACATCTCGATGGGAAATCAATTAAGCTTAGGGATTTCTCTCCACACCCCACAGAACCGACACACGCACCTTCTGTCGCCATGAGTACAATCTGACGGGTCTGTGCACGCGTCGCACCTGTCCGCTGGCCAACTCGCAGTATGCCACCGTACGCGAGGAGAATGGCATCATTTATCTGTTCATGAAGACGGCGGAGCGGGCACATATGCCCGCCAAGCTGTGGGAGCGCATCAAGCTGTCGCGCAACTTCAACAAGGCCATCGAACAGATCAACGAGAACCTCGTCTTCTGGCCCAAATACATCATATCCAAGAACAAGCAGCGCTTCCTCAAGATCACCCAGTACCTGATGCGTATGCGACAGCTTAAGTTGCGCCGCCAGAAGCTCATCGTGCCGCTCTCCACCAAGATCGAGCGCCGTGAGACGCGTCGCGAGGAGAAGGCCCTGGTGGCGGCCAAGATCGACAATCATATCGAGAAGGCGCTGCTCGATCGTCTCAAGCATGGCACCTACCGCGACATTTACAATTTCTCACAGACGGCCTTCAACAAGGCCCTCGAGGCGGAGCGCATTGAGGACGAAGAAGACGAGGAAGAGGAAGAGCTGGAGGTGGAGCGTGAAATGGAGGTGGACCAGGAGGCTGCCGAACTGCATAGGGATCTGCTTAGCGAGGAGTTTGTTGAGGCCGAAACAGATGATGATGACGATGACGACGACGACTCTCAGAGTGAATCGGGTCAGCGTGAGGAAGTCGAAATGGACAGCGACTTTGGCCACTCCGATGACGACGATGATGATGATGCAGATGCAGATGCTGATGATATTGAGGTAGGTTATAGGCGTTTGTTTTCGGCAATTTGGCTTCCATTTGGTTTTATTTGTGTCTTTATTTCCACACACAAAAAAAAAAACAATCAAAAATTACCATAATTTGAGAATGAGAAATGAGAAACGAGTTCCGGCCGCGACAAGTGCTCTGTGCAACGACACTGTGTTCTGTCGAGACTGCAGTCGGGGGTCGGGTGCCGTAGAATGCTTCTGTTTAGAATGTTTTTTCCATTCGTTGACGAATGGCGCGAGTGCGCGTAGCTCTGTACGTAGCGTAGCCCAACAAATTGCCGGAAACAAATACCCCCCGCCCAAGCCAAGCGAATCTCTTGCTAATATTTTCAATCGCAGGATATCAAAGTGCCAGCCAAGAAATCAACGAAAACAAAGACCAAGAAATCTACGGCTGCTGCTGCTGCTGCTACTGCTGCTCCATCATCGACGAAACGGCGTCGCGCCAAACCCAAATTGGAGCTGGAGTACGAGTATGAGGTTGAGACTGGGGCGGAGAGGGAGAAAGTGCGCTATTAGCCAGGTACTGGACGAGCTCACAGCCCACAGAAACACACACCTAAACCTACACACCAATCCCCCCCCCAACCACCCCATTAGAACTTTACGTTTAATGTTTATAGCTAATTAAAAGAGAAACTGTAATGCCGCTTAAGAATAGTATTTAAATAATTGCAAAACTCAAAAAAATGCAACCAACTTTTGTGTCGTCTCTGAATGAGAGCGAGAGGGTCGCGCATACCGTGCATGTCGCATCTCGCTCTGACCCGAAAATGGCATTGAAATGTGCGTGAAGGCGAGACATGGTGAACGAGAGAGAGAAGAGAGAGAGAGAGAGTGGGAACCAGTTTTTATAAATAATCTAAAAAAACGTATAAAACTATTTTGCTAAAATTTTAGTTTATTGCCATAACCCATACCCTGTTTGCTGGGTTAGATTAGGGGTAGATGCGTCTCCAATAAATGAGGGTTGTCAGAGGGAGATATATCCATGGACAATGTAGGCTTAAAATGGCAGCAAATATTTTACTATAAGTGTGGAATATTTAATTCCAAGAGAAGTTCCAGCTATTGAAATCTGTATAGTTATAGGCCGACCTAAATTAGAGAGAATTTGGCATTTAAGGAGGATCTAAAACTGCTAAAAGTGACACTCTAATGGGACTAAAGCAAAGACTTAAAATATTAGTAAAATACTTTCAAAATTCTGTGGATTATGGCTTTAAAGGAGAGGCTTTAAAAAGTCAATTTTCTATGAAGACAAAAAGCATTGAAAACTATAGAAATTGAATCAATTAATTCCCTATAAAAGAAAGTTGCACTTGAGCTATAAAATAATAATTCAAATGAAATGTTTAATTTTAAGCAATTTTAAAGGCATCTGCGTAGTCGAGACTCTTAACTATTTTATAGCTCGCTGCTGGCTTGTTGTTTTTACATATTAAACAAAATGCTGAAGTGCTGGTTTGTTGGCTAATTAAATATCGCATGCCAAGTTCAATGCAGCTGAACACAGTCATAGCCACGGAGCTCCATACCCATAGCCGGCTCGATCGGAGCCGGTGCCAGAGCCAGACCCAGACTCAGATCCCAAGGTCGCGCATGGTATCGCGCAATGGAATGGCCAAAGGTTCTGTTTGGTCGCAAATCGATCGAGCGTTGTGCCCCTCCTCCATTCCCTCACCGTAAAAGTGCAAAATAAAACCTAAAAGTTGAGAGGTTATAACTTTATGGAGTCATGGGAATTCGTGGGGAAAATTATATGTGAACAGCGAGAGGACGGGCAGGGGAGTTGCGGGGCTTAGAAGTAAAATTATAGATTTCCGCTTCAGATATTCAATGATTATAATTATGGATTGCTTTGGGGCATTGTATTATTTTGAGTATTTTTAAAGTTAAACGTTTTTTGAAGTTGGATTTTCTGAATGGAGGGGTAAGGGTTTTTCCAAAAGAATTGTAATGAATGAAAAGTGTTTAAACAGAGCTAAGATGCTTGAGTTTAGGTATCTAATTTGAATCAAAATTTAGAAGGGTTTTTAAGGTTTTTTTTTCAAAGGATTTCCACTCAAAGAACCCCTTAAGGTAGTAGCAAAAAGTGTTCATAAATAATTTTCATATTCCAAAGAATAAAGACCTCTTACAGATATTAAATAATGATTCTCTTGATGAGTAATAATGCATCACAGGCACATTCTCAATGCCTTCCAATTAAAATTACGAATTATTACTATGATCTATCGAAAATAAAATCAGAAATCTCTAAGATATGATCAATTGAAAAATCTTAAACAAAACTCAAGTAGCCTTTCCTCATGTAAAAAAAAGTTTCCCTCTAACTTTTGTACACTTTCTAAATTTTAATCACAACTTTCAGTATAATTTCTTCACTAAAACCAATAGATCCCTGAGATGCTCTAACAAAATCGAATGAAAACACATAAAGAAATTGCTTTTCCATATGATATAGTCCCTGATAATTATTAAATCCCTATAAAAACCTCTCAAGGCTTATAAAAAACCTTTCCACACTATAAACATTTTTACAATTTATCAAAATCTATACGAAACCTTTCCACATTGTATTTTCCGGTATAATCCATCGAAATCTATGGGGCAACCCTCTCCAAATAGTTTTCAAAATCCTTTGCCATTTATGTGGCACTCTAAATCATTTAGCCATAACATGTCCATAGCTTTGATTAGCCATTAAATGAGTACAACAGATCGTTCAGTTATGTGTATATACATTATATTAGTTGTTGTAAAGTAAGGATTCCATTTCTAAGTTTTACAATTCTCTCTAGTTTACCCCACTTTTGGGATGCGGGAGCACAATTGGTTTTTTTTTTTTTTTTTTTTTTTGAGTGTTTTTTTTTTTGTGTATTGTAAACCTTAGATAGAAGGAAAAAATATATCTCTATAATATATTTTTGTGTGTGTGTGTGTGTGTTATAATCAAAGTGTCCTTTTCTCAGGATCAAAACACGATTCTCGGATGCAGCTGCCGGAATCCAGTGTCCGGAATCGTGTTGTTGCACTTTCATGGAATCATTCCACAGAAATTGCATTTTTGTTTGTTTGTAGTCGAATTGCGTTTAAATAGTTTATCGAATTGCGTTTAAAAATTGTGTCGAATTGCGTTTAAAAATTGTATCGAATTGCGTTTAAAAATTGTGTCGAATTGCGTTTAGTGTTTTTTTTTCGAATTGCGTTTAGTGTTTTTTTTTCGAATTGCGTTTAGTGTTTTTTTTTTTATCGAATTGCGTTTAAATTGTGTACGCATTTTTTTTGTATCTGTACCTCTTCTTATTGTGGGCCACATTTTGGCCGTTTTGTGTATATCTGTATCTCTTTTTTGTTTTTTTTGTTTTTGGGCTATTGTTTCCCGCGTGTGTTGATTTTTTGGTTGGTTTATTACCCCCCGTGTGGCCCTTCAAAACCACCGTACCGTGGATGCGTTTTAGGCATTCGGACTGAATGCCGCCTGACGGAGCAGCACATAGATCTTCTCCTTGATCCACTCCTTGTTGTAGGGGGCATAGGTATTGGTGCTCTTCTGGTACACCATGCAGCTGATGTCCATCAGTGTGTCGATGAAGTCGAACAGCTGGCTAATGTCGTAGGTGATGGTCGGTGTGTTTGGATTGCGGCGCTTCAGATGCTCCTCGTAGATCTTGCACACACCCTCCATGCACTCGTTGACGCTCTCATAATCGCAGTAGGTACGGGTCTCTGGGCGTGCGCCCGGCTGCACCAGCAGTATGGTGTGAGACATCGTTGAAGTCTGTTGGCAAACGGAATAACAAAAAGAGATTTCAATTGGATATAACATCTGGGGCGCGGTACTCTCCCACTTACCTTTTTTTTTTTTCTGTTTGTTGTCTCCCTGTTGTTGAGTTTATTCCGAGACTTTTGCCCACACGCCTACGGCTTGCTGTGCTGTTACGTTGACCCACCAACAAATGAGGCTTCTGCCCGATGCTGCAATACGTTAACCCAAAAATTATTCATTAATAATGGTCAAAATAAAGTTATCACAGCGAGTGCCGCAGCTTGTAATACCCTCCAATTTATATATTAAATGGCACCGGTCCAATATTTTGTTGCCAAATGTCAAAATTTTTCATATAAAAACTATTTTTTTTTGCACGTCAGAATATCTTTTACATGCGGATCAGGAATATGTATATTTTATGGCACTTTCTTTTTCTGGCAGAGGCTACAACCTGCATGCCCTGTACACACGAATACCCTTTAAAAATATCTTTTGGTTCCTCCACATCTCACACACACACACGCACACACGCTCCCATGCACAGAATACATGTGCGCGGAAATGTTTTGCTTTTAGCGGCATTTTTCTCAGGAAAATTTCACATTATTCGCTTTAAAAAAATATCTGCCACACCGAACTGTGCATTTAACTAACAAAATGCTGGGCATTTGTTTAAATGATATGCATTTTTGTTAAGAATTTCGTAAATTGTTTTTGCCGCTTCTCAAGCAAACGCACACACACACACACACGCGAACACATACCACGCACACACAGGCAGAGGGCCTGTACAGCACCCAATATTTTGTTATTTCTTCGCTATATCTCGTTTAATTAACAATTTAATTTAATATTATTTTTTGCTTACCTGACTTTGCTGGGGGCAGAACTAAAAATGATTTATGCCGGCTTTTTCACGTCAATTTTTGCGTTCGGCTCACGCTTGCTTGGTTTTTTAGTTTTTTTTTGTGGCCAGCTTCTTAGGGATGATAAGTATATACTGATATATTATATCGATATCTGATAATATATTTGTAGGTGATATTTTGTTAAAATTAATATGAATATTTTTGTGGGTTCTTATATTTTCTTAATGGAACTACAATTATCGACTAATTGACAATATTTTTCTGATGTCTCCCGTCGGTAGATCAGAAATACCCACAGATTTGGATTATACATACTTATCGATGCACCGGCTATCGGTATTTTTGTGCGATAATTTCAGCGGGGTTGTACTTTTATTTTGAAACTAGCCGACATTTTGAGATTTGGCTGAGACCATTACTATTTACACGATTCCTATTAATCACTAATTGTGATAGTTGTGGTTTTATAGTGCTTAGAGAAGTATTTGTAAACTATAGAGCTGGAAATAATGATATTCGTATTGGCACAAAACATCGTTGGACAGCACCTTTTTTCCTCAGACTGGCAACTTCAAGGTGTCTTCTCGCGCTGCCAGATCACCAAAGCTCCAGCTGTTTTTTTTGTTTTATTATTTTTTTTTTGATCGTACTGGACCAATTGGAAGAGAAGACCGCCGATCAGACCAACGACACGATAAATATTTGCAACAACGAAATTCCGTGATTTACTTTTAGTTTCAGCAAACGCGATCGGCAGTCGGCTTTTTAGTGTCTCTGTTTGTTGTTTGTTGGTGTTGCAACAAGTGAAATGTTTGGCGCAGACGCAGCCGCCACCGTCGCCGTCGCAGTCGCTGAGAGCGTCGTCGTCCAATTGTGCAAGTGAATGTGTTTTGTGTGTGTTTTTTTTTTGTTTTTTGTTAACTGTTAATTGAAAAGAGAGTCGCCCGCCGTGATCTACTCTCCATGTACGCGTGTCGAAACAACGTCAAGCCGAGAGCCAGTGTGTGTGTGTGTGTGCGTGTGTGTGTGTGTTGTGCGTATCCCGATGTTCTCTGCAGCCAATGGGAAAATCAAGGTGTGCAACATATTTACAAAAAATTGCGTTGGCCACAATCTTAAAGAAACAGTGCTCAGAATTGGTATAGTTATAGGCTTAGGTATTGTCGATCTGGATGCTAGCAATCATATTGATTGGATAAATATTATAGCTGGAATGGAATGGATTACTCATGGGACATTATGTACATAGTACCGTTCCCATCAAAGAGAATATACTACCTATGATATCTATTATTTGATAGAATAAATATTGAAGCCAAAAGAACTGTTCGAAGATTTGGTTTGGAGACCCCTAGAAGTTTATCCTACACTTGCGCGTGAATACCCTCCCAATATGTAGATTTGTTTTCCTATTTTATTTGGTGTTCTGTGTGTCATATGTGGTAGTAAATCCCTGCCCCCCCCTCCTGTCTTTTAGCTGCCTTCGGAGGACACGGCTCTGGTGACTTCTCCACTGCGCTGCCTCTTCAATGGACCCTTTCGCGATCTGCACTTCAGTGTGAGCGGCGACCATCGCCTGATACCCGTCCACGATGTCGTCTTTCTCGATGACTTTGAGCACAACGTCAAGCCGTTGATCTACAGGCCCGTGACGTCAGAGAGCGTTCTGCTAGCCAGCGAGTCGGAGTCGCAGAAGCCGCCCCACAACATTTATGCTGCTGCTGCTGCTGCTGCCAACAGGTGAGTCAAAGTGCTGTGTGCAGTTTAACCTTGAACTTGTTTCGATCACTAAAAAAAACAAAACCCGTTAGAACCACCATACCCGTAGCCGGAGGAGGGCCTTGGCTTTCAGATTTCTGATTTCTGATTTCAGGTTTCAGAGATTCTCTCGCGTTGTGATTCATTTGTTTCGATGTTGGGCTACCATAAATGGATTGCACGCGTTGACGAGCAACGGGGGCTGGGGGAAACAAACAAGCGTTGCTTTATTTACGGACAAACTTGGACTACAAATTGTTGAATTATGCGAATTCTGTGGCTCTATAATATTTCATAACAGATTACGCAGCGAGTTGAAAATCAGATTTTTTTTCTCTAAGTTTAATTGATTTTTTTTTTTTAAATTAATACGGCACGCTGCATTTTCCGTTAGTTAACTGCTTGTCAGAGCAAGTAACTGCATCTCTGCAGTTGAACTGCTTTGAACTGCTTGCTTGCTGCATCACGTGTAAAACGCTTCAGCCCCGCTTTGTATGTTTATTTCATATGTTAATTTCCATTACTTGTTGGTGCCCACTGTGCGTCGCTTCACCTGGTTGCTGGCCAGGTTATAATTTGTCTTGTTTTACGCTCGTTTTCCAGAGATGTTTGCTTTTCGTGACTCTGATAAATGGGGTGGGTGGGGGTAGTAAGGAACACTCTCCAACGGAGCCAAGATAAGAATATAGGCGCCCCAGCCAATGTGATGAAACATTATTATTATTATCATAAAAGAAAAGTAAAGAAAAATGCACAGCGATTGCCGTGCTACCGTCCTGCCGTTTGGTCATGGAACGCACTGTCACCTGCTGGAATTTTGTGGCAAGTGCTTATCAAACATGGCTTGATTATGCGCGGTTTATTTATTCTAATTGTTTCAATTTACGTGTGTGGGTAGCTACTGCTTTATGTTTTGCACCTGAGAAAATGCTTTTGGCTTATGTTTATTGCACACAGCTACCTGTTTTTGTTGTTGTTGTTGTTATCGCTCTATCTTTGCGGTTATTTATAGAGTTTTAGCTGCCAAGTGTCGCCATGCAGGATGTTGATCTTCGGATATGATTCGTTGCCTACTTTATTCATCTTTATTGTGATACCTTGGCTCATATGCTATCGAAACCCTTCCATTTGTAATATTGCAGAGCATTTAACATATATAATTTTTATGCAAATTTCTCGTGTTTTTCTCTCGCTTCTTCCGCATTTGTTTTGAGCTTTTTCTGTTTGATTTTTTGTTTTTTGTGTATATTTGTGTTGAAGGTTGGACAACTTTTTTTTGTGTTTTGTGTGTTTTTTTTTTACTTTTTATTTGTTTGCTTGAGCGGAGCTTTGATTATTAAATTCGTTTCGTTACGCTTCGTTTGGCTTCTTGTCTTCTGTCTGCACGTGGCAGCGGTGTCTCGCTTTATTGCCTCACTGTCCTCGTTGCCGGCAGAAAAATATATGTGTGTCGCCCTTGGCATTGACCGGTACGGTACGGTACGGACGGGTCGTCTGGTTGTCTGGTCGGGTAGCAGCAGCTCGTTCGTTCGTCTGTCGCATAATTAAAGCCACAATTGCGCTGTCCATCGTCCGGCGTCCCGTTGCCAGTGCAACGACTTCAATTAATGTGCAACACCATAATTGGCAGCGTGACCCCCGGGACACCCATTTGGCGACATGATTCTTCGGCCACTCGACACAGCAAATACCGAGCCGAGGCAGCCGAGTAATTATATTTTTGCTAGCACCCCAATTAAGCGCTTAAATCAAGTCTGTAATTTATTTAAAGTCTATAGAGAGTTTCGAAATAATAACAAAAAACAACATGAGTACTATAGAGAGGCAGAAGTGTGGCCCAGCATCAGCGAAAGTGTTGCCAGCAGTGTGAATTTAGTATGGTATGGTAGTTGGGTAGTCAGTCGCTTAGATCACGCCCCCGAGATCTTCAGACGATGAACTGTCAGTTGTGGAATTGTCCGATGTATCTTCACCCTCGCTGCTATCCATTGGTTGGTGCTGAAATATATCAGATTAAATATATTCAGCTATTTATTGGCCACTTGTCGTTGGGGCTACCTACCATCATAATTATTTCTGCATCCACTTTACCGAAGCGCAGCTTTATAATGCCATCAATGGCATCAAGTTTGGTAATCACTGCCGGATTGCGTTCCAACCCATTGACCAAGATCTCGCCCGAGATGGTGCGCATGCTCAGGACTCCCGGTCGATGCTTAAAATTGATTATGGAGGCATGCACAAGCTCCAAGGACTAAGGACACATATGTAAAGAAAAGGAAAAGCGAACACATTCTGCAGCGTACTCACATCATCGTCGATGCGAAACTCCAGACCTGCCTTGCGGCCAATCGAGTAGAGAGTTCCGGGTTCTAGATGTATGGCTGGGCCTCCCATTACACTTAAGCTCATAATAGATTCCATTCCGAAAAATATTTTATTTCTCACACACACGTCTGAGATAAACTGACTTGTAATAATAACTGTAACTGACACAACACTCTCATCCTGAATTGAAATTCCCAAATTCCTTTGATTTGATACGTTGGAAGTTAACTGTGTGGCAACGTCACAACTGTAGAGCAGCCAACTTCACTCAGAACAGTGCTGCCAGATGTCTGAAATTCCAGAATGCAAAGAAATGGAAATTGGAATTGGATTGGGATTGGAATTAAAATCTACGCAAAACTCTTTGAGTTTTCGAGTTGCTGTTGCAAAAATATATACAGCCAAAATAATCACTTGAATGATGAGTTTTTGTGGCCAGGTTTGGTCTACCATCAACCCATCAAGCATCAACAACATCATCATCATCATCAGCAGCAGCAACAGCAGCAGCAGCAACAAAGGGGAAGCAATTGCAGAGCCTCAGCGGCATTGAAATGGCTCATTAAATCCAACTCGTTGCGGTCTTAGCTCATTTGAATTTTTTATGGTTCGACTGGGCTACGACGGAGAGGAATGGGGATTAGCCGGAAGCACCGCCAAAGCAACAACAGATAATAATTGTTAATCATTTTGTTGTTGAATATCACGCGAGCATTCCAAAAAGCTTCCAAAAAGAAATATATCAAAAATCAATAGAATGAAAATAGCAACTGAAATTATTAGCATTGCCTTGATTTGATTTCTTTTACGTTTGTGGTGTTTTCCATCCCTGCAATTCATTCATCGACAGAATGTTGGGGACGCAGCACGTGTGAAGGGCTTCCTACCTATCGCCACAATGTCGCCCCCGAAAATCGCTGACCCATTTTACGGTGGGTATGGCTACGGGTATGTAGCATTTGTCTTACGGCCAACAAAAGCGAAACAAAGCGGACATAATGGAAGATACACAGAGGCGAAGAGAACCCATTGAGGGACAGACAGACCGAATGAGTCTTTGACTGACCATCGCGTCGTGTTCAGCCCAGCTCATGCTCTTCTGGTTGTATACCCTTTAAAATGTTGAACAAACGAGTATATGCTGTCTAGGAATCTTACCGGAAGGAAACTTATCGTTTGCTGCTAAGCCACACTGGAAAAAAGAGCGACTGAGCGACAGATAGTATGCACCAGAGGCGGTAGAGAATGTTTACACTCTCTGGAATAATGCTAGTAATGATCTAACAATAAAATAAACTTTCTAAACCCTCAGACTGGGGGTATACCTCTGGGTGGGGTATTTTTCCGTCGAATACCCATCGATCTATCTATGTGATGTATCTCCTAGCTGTACACCTGTTTCGTTGTTGCCATTGTTCTCAGTTCTCTAATTGAATTAGCCCACACAGAGCCCCAGTCGGTTTGGGGACTAAGGTCTCGCGATGTGAAGCCCCTGAAAGTCCCACCACGGTGGCCATTCTCCGTATTCCGTTTCATCCGCCAATTGCAATTTTTTCAGTGCGTTCGTTGCAAGTCTCTGTGGAAGTCGAAAGTCCCGAAACACAAGTCCGAGAAATAATCACATTATAAACCAAAAAAATTACATTAAAATATTACAAAATATATTATTATTATTGTGTCCTAAAGTGCGTATTTATTTTTTTTTCGTTGTGGCGTGTGGAATCGTGTGCATCGACTTTAAGCAAAAGTTTTGAGTTTTGAAGTGCCAGAATATAGATACCAAAAACCAAAAAAAAATAAAAAAAAAAAAACTAACAAAATGCCAGAGCGTCGTGTCAGTCAGCGTGATGTCGATGAGATTGAGATCGAGAGCGATGAGGAGGAGGAGAATCTTGAGCAGGGCGTTGGTCTGTCCGTACAATCGACACGGCGTCGCCGTCATTCCCCAATGGCCACGTCACGTGCCGGTGGTGGTGGTGGTGGTCGAATTGTTGGCAAAGTCCCCAATGGTAATCAGAATGAACGAACCCTCGATCGATTCCATGATGAGGGCGAAGATGCTATCTTTGAAGAACATGACCCAGAGAATGACGACGATGAGCTGGATGATGGCGAAATCGAGTTGCTCGATTAGTAAGTACATGATTATTATGTGTTCCACTCGTATGATTCCCCTTCCTGCCAACCCTCTGGCTTCCCCTAGAAACAAAAAAAAAAACTAGTTTCATTTGGTTCTATATAAATAAAAAAAAAAACATTAATCGCTAGTGCAATGACTCACCTGGCTACCTGGCTACGTTGCTTTTGGCTAGACCAGGCACTGTTTCTGCTGCTTCTCGAATTTGTTTCGAATTCAATCTAATATTGGTGTAAATTTGTTTCTATATTGACTATCATTTTGTTTTCTATCCAACAAAACTTATTTGATGTGAATTTCAATGAATCAATGGCACAGTGGTGATACGATCTGGTTAGATCTGGCCCAAATTAATATATCCAATACAAATTTCATATAAGTGTGTAATTTAAGCATAATTTAAGACCGTGTGGCAGCAGCTCGTTTAATTTCCAGAGAAAAATCTCTGATATGTCTGATATGTCCTCCTCTGCAGAGTCTTCCGCCATTTCGTTGCTTGCTGCCATCATGCATGTCCTTGGCCGCGGTTTTTGTCGTTGCCATTTCGCAGCTTAATTAAAATTAATGAAGTATGTACATACGCGTACGCCTGGCTCTCTCAGCACTCAGCACTCTCTCTCTCTCTCTCTCTCTCTCGCTCTGTCCTTGGCTGTTGGTGGTGTCAGGCCATTACCTGGATCAGCCCTGCAGGGCCTGTAAATATTTACAAAAATTTCGGGTTACATTTCAAGCGAGTTAATTGCGCAGAAAATCAGGCACAGAGCCCCCTCTAATGAAGATTGACCAGAAACAGCAGCCGGAGTCCCCAAATGCACTCACAGCCTCCGCCTAGTACTTGGAATCCTTTTTGTCGCTGTCTCACTTAGCAATTGAAAGCTATTAATCATTTGCGTGTGTTTTTTGTTTTGTTTGGTGCGAATGCAAATGAAATGTTGCCCAAAAAGTTTTGTGATAACAAATGAAATATGAATAAACATTTATGCAGAAGTCTACAAAGTACAAGCCCCCCACAGGAGACACACCCACACACATAAAAAATGGAGCAGAACGCACACTGTGTGGGGCACAGACACACTCTCTCCTGCTGCGCCATGCCACACAGCAGCAGCAGCACAGCAGCAGCAGCAGCTTTAATGCATCTGTGGGATGCAGCCTCAACGGAATGTTGTGGCATGTCGGGGAAGCAGCCGAAAAATGTGCCACAAAAGCAGCAGAACTATAGAAATTTCTACAATGCTGCGTAGAAAATTTTCGCTTTGAAAATGTTTTAAGAATAAATTGCAAAAGATGATGCCCCAGCAGGATACACTTGCAGCACTTTCAAATCCTTGAGAAGTGTTTGCGGAATATTCCCTAAAAAATATTTCATAAATGAGCAAAAGTATCTCTCAGATGCGTGGAGAGTATTTTCATAGTTTCCCCCAACCCCACACCAACCAGCACATTTTGCGTGCATCTCTCAAGGGTATCCTGCTGTATCCTCAGCATCCTGTCGGGGGGGGTGTGCAAGCGTACTTTTATTGCTGCCTTGCCATTCGCTTTCAGGCTCACAGTTTTTTGTTCGTAGTTTTCGTAGCTCTGAGGCATACTCCTGCAGAGTCCTGCCACTGCCACTGCCACTGCCACACATCGCACACATTTTACGGGAATGTGGTGCGTGGAGGGTTGGGGTAGGAGGGGGGTGGTCTTGCAAAAATATTTGATGCCTGCAGCGCATCGCTTTAGCCGCATCTCAACGATGTTGCAAAAGGTTGTTGCAAAGCTGTTATGCTTATTATACACGCACCCCCCTTCCCGCCCCATCAGCATATCCCATCGCCATTCAGAGACCTCCGGTTCTGCCCCGCCAATACCACTCCATAAAGAAAAAAACTGCTGCACATGCGAGCGACGAAGCGGTGGAGCAACATTTTAAGTGAAATTGCCCAAAAGCACGGGAAACGGTAGAATAAAAATATACATATGTATGTACATATGTATGCATGTATGTATGATTTTTATGGTGACACATGTACGCACTGTATACCCTGTAATCGATTGCGGTTTAGGCTCTTCAAGCAGGGCAATCGATTGATTTTTGTTTTTCAAATTTCATATATTTATAATTATATATTAATTAATTAATTATAATTATATTTTAGTAATATAAAATATATATTAAATTTAAATTAATTAATTAATTATAATTAAATCTCATAATTCTAGATTTAATTTTTTAATTTAATTTGTTAATTCTTCACGGAGAATTTATTAAATTATTAATTAATATTAATATATATATTTATTAATAAATAAATCTTTAGTTCTCTAGTTCTAGATTTAATTTGATGATTTAATTTGATGATTTAATTTGATGATTTAATTTGATGATTTAATTTGTAAATTCCTCATGGAGATTGGTTTCCTTTATCCCCCTATGCCTATTCCCTATTCCCCATATACCCAACCTCAGTTGCCTCTTTTTTCGATGCTCAGCATGGGTATTCATATTTTGCGTGTTCTATGTGGCGTGTGCGGGCGTCGGCGTGGGGGGCCCCATGTTTTTGTTGCTCCCACAGTATGGATGCCGCCGCCATTGGTCGGCGGGGGCTATTATTCGAAAGTTGCCTTCGGGCTGGACACTGCCACATATAAGGAGAGAGGCTATACGAGAATGGAGCGTGCGTGCGTGTGTCCTGCTACCGGAAAATGGATCCACAAAATTCTATTATGCCACATGCCTCGTGCTGCAGGCATCGCCGCCTGCTGCTGCTGTTGGATGCTCCTGATGCATATGCAGTTTTCTATTCGATTTGCTTGGACGCCGATTCGGTTTCATTTTCTGCATTGCGTTCTTTATCCTTTAAATAAAGGATTCTATTGATTTATATTGAGCGAATTTTTGCTTTTGGGGATTTCGCTCACTCAAAACTCTGCTGGGGAAAAATGCTGGAAATCCGCTTAAAACATGACGTTTATTGTCGGGCAAAAGCAAATATTTCCTCAAAAATATCTGTAAACAGTGAGTGGCAAAAGTATGGGCGCATAAAAAACAAAGAAATTCCTTAGAAAAGTTTTTTATTATAATTATTATTCTTTGGTGTTTATTCGATCGTTGAATAATCCTTTATTTTTTGGTATTTATATCCTTAAAGTATGTAGTGGACATTGTCCTTTTGCTACGCAACGTACGTCCCAAAGACCCTGCCGTTTCCTGTCTACTTTAATATTGATTTTCTCCATTTTATTCATCTTTCTCACTTAAACGACTTTTCTTTTATATTTTCTTTCTTGCTTCTTTTTTTTCTTCTCGTTTCAGCGATACGTGAGTACAACCCGAAATTTTTATGAAACAAAAGAAGTTGCGATGCTGCCACAGACTGTGGCACGCGCACAAAGGGACCACAAAACACCCGGGGGGGGCAGGGCGGGCACATTCACATTCCATCAGGTATTTACTTTATACCTCCCCCATTCAATGGCATCTGAATGCAGTTTCTCTTTTTTCTTTCTTTTTGTTTATTTGTGGGACAACATAATTAAATAGTTGATTAAATAATGAAAATAGTCTTTAATAATAGCTGAATTGTCTGTTTACCTGAAATTATAGACAAACATGTTGGGGGCATGATGTGGAAAAATAGATTAAAAATGGTTTGTATATTATTTATTTATATGTATTATATTTTAAAGCATACAGCATAAACCTTTAATTGCAGTTTCTATATAAAAAAGATCTTTAAGAATAATGGAAAGTATTTTATACTACTACATATATACATATGTCAGCATTGATGGACGATAATTAATATTTTATTGAACATTTTTCTTTATTTATGACTTCAATGTAAATCCCATTTTAGATTTTAGATGTTTGTTGCTGTGGAAATATATTTCTTAAAAAATTTATATTCGTGCAAAATGTATAAAGTTTTATAGATCAAATATCATAAACGATTATCCATTATATATAAATATGAAAAAAAGGAGCTGCCATCTGTTGCTCTCAGTCTCTTCTGATGGTTGTTTTCTATGCCGTTTTGTTGAGTAAAATTAAGCAGAAATTCAACGATTATCATTGATTAAACACTTGCCATGTCACAGCGAAAACAATTTAATGTTTTCACTTATTCCAAGATGCTTCTCCTCCCCCTCCAATTGCTGCTGCTGCTCATCATTCTCATGGTCTTGTCATAACAAATACATGTTTATGCATATGATTTATTTATGTCTTGACAACCAAACCAACTGATGTGGCACCAGGTTTTTGTACGAATAATCATCATACATATGTATTTGCAATAGCCAGCAACCGTGGGGCATGGGGCATGGGGCATGGCACATTATAACAAAAGCAGCCAGCAGCGAGGAGCCAAATGCATTGGATTGAGGCTTATGATAACCCTCCAATGGGGTGCCTGCCTGTTCCCCAGCAATAATTAAAGATATCTCCTGCTTGTGCAACACTCAGGTTTTGCAACACGTTTTTCCAGGAATTTCCACGCCCCCCCCCCCCCCTCACGAGTGCTTTTTTGTGGCGCGTTACGTATACGTACGAAAAACGTGTCCTTTAACGAAAGCTAAATTTGGTTTGGGGGGAATTGTTGTTTCGGGCTGCTGCTGCTGCTGCAAAAAAAAAAACCAAAAAGGAAAAGGGCAACAAAGGAAGAATATATGTACTTACATATATACATATGTACATGCATACATACATACATACATATGTGTAATGAAATGTGATATGGTTATTATACAATGTGGGGCTGCCACACACACAAAATGAATCCAATCGAAGCGAACCGAACCAAATCGAATCGAAAATGGATCCATAAGAGCAGTTGATTTTACGAGCCTTAAACATGACACTGAAATTAACTGCGAGGACGAATGCATGCGCAGATTTTTATGACAGCCCCCACCACCCACCACATAAAGGGTTGGGGTGGGTGGTGTGGTGTGGTGTGGGGTTGGTGTTGCGGATGCGCTGAATGAAGCAGCAATCCGCAAGCAGCAAGCAGCGATCCGCAATCCACGTGCAAGTGTGGAGTGAAGCGGAATGCCAAAGGCTGGGATTTCCGCCGGCGAGGCAGCAAACTCTTCAAACTCTGTGTGTGTGTGGCTCAGATCCCACTCCCACTTTTATGGCCAAAATTGTACTAATGGGTATCGATGGTCGCTTGGGCTACAAAATCAAATCAAATTGGCACAAATTCCCTTTGGTTTTGGTGTCCTGGCAGCCTGATGGCCTTGCCTTCAGCCCAGAGATGATTGTCTCGCTATCGGCATCCAGCAGAGCCAACTTGCCATTACCTGAGGCACTGGCACATCTTCGCCAGGCGTGGCGAAGTTGGACAATCTTTTGCCACCTCGCCTGCGCGAATCGTAACCGTAAAGTGTGCTTAAGTCCAAGCGGAGAGCAGTAGTGCCAATCCAATACCCACTTACCCTTTGTTCGTGCCGCAGGCAATGAGATCCATTTTATTGTTCCACTCCATGCGCTCCACAATGTCCTCGCTCCACAGGTCTTGTTGCCAGCACCGAGCAGTTGCATGGAGCTTCTCTGTGTCATTTTTCTCTGCCTTTCAATGCCAAAGCCAATCCAGATCCTCTACATAATTGTTTGCCATTTATTTACACTTTGCTGGCGCCGTCTGTCGAACCGGCACTCGCCAAGCTATATTGAATACAAGGTACGGTACTTTTAAGCGCAGGTCAAGCCAGATCAATATCACAAATCAAAATCCAAATCAGCCAAAAAATTACTCCATTAGCCAATTAGCAAAGAAAACATTTTGCAACCATTTAATTGTACGATTTTTCCGTGCGTCTATCGATTAAATTGCGCCCCAGGGTCACCTATCCGTCCGTGTACCGCACCTCTCAGCGAATATACCTTGCGAGTAGCAAGAAAGAGGAGGTGCAACAGAAGGACAAGAACAAAATGGAGAAGGAGAGAGACAGAGCTATAGGCGTACATTTTGCGAATTGTATTTTACTCGACTGCCGAACTTTTTTTTTTGTGTTTTCTTTCTAGGCCTATTTGGGGGGGGGTCCAAATAATAAACAAAGTGAATATTTCATACCTTCCGATTGTCATATATTTCACATACAAAAAAAAAAAATAAGTCAAGCGCATATTTGCTTTTAGGTCCCCGTTGGATCTTCCTTAAGTTGTACAAATAATTTCTATGTTTATCCCTCGCGAACAACAACAACAACAATGCTGGATTATTTTCATATTTTCTTAGTCGTCAGTCGTCTGCTTCTCCGATTCGAAGTGCCTTGCTGTTGTCTCCCTTATGCGGCGGCTTCTTCTGCTTCCCATCGTTCTTGTTGTTGCTGTCCTCGGCCTCTTCTACTTCTTCTTCTTGTTCTGTTTGCATCCTCTCTCCTCTTTTGTGGCTGGTCCGCCACGCCGCTGTTAGTCAGAGCTGTAGCTGTCGGCGCCGTCGTCACCGTTGAAATTTTCTGACTGCCAGGCGATGCGCTCCTCGTAGAACGCAATCACAACCTGTGGGCAGCGCTCGTTGGCCAGTTTGGCAGGCACCAGATCGGCCTGATCGCAGCCCACCCACTTTACCAGGAACATGAGCTCGCCCAGCGCATCGGTGGCCGCCAGTATTTTGGCCGGCTTCAAGCCGCGATCAAAGCCCATGATCGCATTCGCATTCACATTCATTGCCCCTGGCTCGTCGTCGCTGCGAACATTTTCTGGCGTTGCGACTGTTGCCACGCGGTTCTCGGGCTGCTGCTGCTTCTTCTTCTTCTGCTTCTTCTGCAGTCTCACCGACTTTTCGTATTTGGCTATCAAGGCCGGGCAATCCAGATTCTCCGCAGGCTCCCAAGTGTTTTCACTGGCAGGATAGCCGCGCCACCTCAAAAAGTATTCGGTGCGTCCATTTACAAAACGTTTGTCCTCCACGCGATGCACGACATACGATGTCATTTTTCTGCTGTTGCTGCGTTTTTTTCTCTCCGCTGTCCGTTCAATCGTGTAGTTTTATGCTTTATGCTGTGACGCCTGCACGGATGGTGATGTGAGGGCCCCCCCGGCGCCCAAAGAACTATCGAAGACGCTATTGATAGTATCGCTGTGTTGTAGAATTGATTGTGCGAAATATCGATAGTTTTTTTTTGGTTTGATCAAAAACCCGCAAAACAAATGCAGGTTCAAAGCTTTAAATTTTCCCCAGACGTTTTTTTGCTTGCTAATCGTTGGATTTCTTCATTGCCCGATCGCTTTGTGTGATAATTAAATATTTAAATATAAAAGTTATTATTTAAAAACATCTTTGTATTGCAGCGGCGAAACTCTACACTGTGCAGGGTATCCAAGCAGCTCTCCAGCTTTTATTTTTGACCATGCTGGGCTGTCTATTCGGCGCTCGTCCATGGGGACGATCAAAGAATTTTGGTACTTGGGACCCTGGCAAAAGGCAATCAAAATCCAGCCTCAGGGTCTCTGTGCCGGGGCATTATTGCTGCCTGTCGGTTGTCGGTGATGCTGCTGCTGCCTGCCTGCATGTTGCATGTAGCAACAGTTTTTGGTGTGTGCCCGTCGATTGCATCGCTGATTTCATTTGCTCTTTGGCCTGGGACTTTGTGTTTTCGTTCACTGCTTTTTTTTTTCTTCTTCTAATTTACAGCGGATATGGGATGCAGAGCGAATGGGTATGGGGTTGGGGTTGGGGGATGGCGGATGAATGTTGTGTTGTGTTGTGTTCATAAATATGCTGATTCGCTGTGCTGTGCTCTCGAAATGAAATGAAAATTTCGGCTTGAGCTCCGCGCCACTGCTGGCTGCTGGCTGCTGGCTGGCCCCCGTAAATGTCCTTCTGGTGCTTGTAAATCTCCACTCGATTCCACTCGCCTGCTGTCTCTCCTTCCGCCTGTTTGTCTTGTCTGTCTTTTCTGACTGTCTGTCGTTTCTGTCCCCCTGACTGTCTGTCTGTCTGCCTGTCTGCCTATGTGCTGGCATTAATAATGTAAACGTTTTAATATTTAATATTACGCATACGACATGTTGCGCCATTTCTTTTTATTTTTATTTATTTTTTTTTTTTGTAAGCTTCTCAACATTGCTCTGACATTTAAATGAATTTTCGATAATTTCGTTGTCGGCTTTTTCGGGGTGTCTTTGGGGTTGGAGAGGAGGCCGTTGTTGCATGCCACCAACAAGCACTTAACGCCTAGCCCAAAAAGGACCCTCGTCTGCCCACTTCCGCTCACACACACACAGGAGGTCCCTGGGCATGGGCATGGGCATGGGAGGGAGGAGCGGTGTGCAAAAAAAAAAAAAAAAGAAGGAAAAACCTGCTCCCTGAAAATGGCATTTGTGCAAATCTAATAAACAGCGAACCGCATTAAATTTGACACTGAGGTGCGGGATGAATGGATGAATGGAATGGATGCTTGCTCGCATGCATGTGAATATATGGGAAGGGGGTGGGTGGTGTGTGTTGGGGGAGATGTGTCAATTTTTGGGGGGGTTTAGTGGCGATACGTTCATTAAAGTCGCCGTACAAAGAGAATCTTGTGCTGAGCAGTTGAACGAATCGCTTGACGCTCTCTTATTTATTTTATTTATTTTTAATAAATTTATTTTATTTACTTTATTTATTTTATTTATTTATTTATTATTTATTATTCAAGGCCGATTCTGAACTGTCTCTAAGCGATTTAAAATGGATTGATTTTGATCAAATTCATAACTAAAGCATAACCGATTCATAACCGAACCAAAAACCGATTCGGAAAGATTCAAAGCTGAGGCATAACCCCCCTTTTTTATAACCGATTCTAAATCGATTTAGAACGGATTTATATTAAGAGGATTCATAACCGTTTCATAACCGTTTCAGAACCGATTCGTAACTGTTTCCAGAACCGTTTGATAATTGCGGCCCAGCCCATTACAGCAAACATAATTCTATATTTAAAGCCACTCCTTTTTTGTTTGTTTTCTTAGCCGTTTTAAAATTGTTAAGCCATATTTCATGGAAAAAACTGAATACCCTGCTGCAAGAGAAAGGGTATATTTTTTGCACATTTTTCCTTGAGCGAATCCATGTATGACACATTTTGCTTCTGGGATTTGGCGGCCAAAGGAAAGCATCCTTTTGGTTTTATTTTCTTTTTTTTTTTTGCTTTTGCCAAATTAACATATCGCACAGTCGTCGCAGCGTCGCAGCGTCGCAGCGTCGTCCTTGCCGCTTCGCTCTGCTCGACTTGCCACTTTGAGGCGCGACCTTATGTGGCTTTGTGTGTGTCTGCGGGGGGCTGGGAAAGGGGCCATGGCGCATGAATCCTAGGCCTATGGGCCATTGACTGGCTGTCGCAGTGTGGCCCGGCCTGCAGCCAAGATGTTTTCTTTTTTTTTGTGCGCCAAGCTTCATGGTTCATGAAGCGTCAGGCGAGCAGAGCAGACAGGCAGCGAGAGAGAGAGAGAGAGCAGAAAGAGAGCAGAAAGAGAGAGAGCGAGAGAGAGACCCTTAAAGAGGAGCCTTGCACTCTTTTAAAATCGTTTAAACATTAACCTTGAGTTTTGTTTTTGTTTTTATTGAACGGAAAAATAAACATTTCACAGCAGGGGCCAGGGCCAGGGCCAGGGCCACTGCCAGACTGGGTCGCTGTCTCCACAGGGGCGTCCTGCTGCTGCTGCTCCTACTCATCCTCCTCATCCCGATCGTCGCTCTTATCGGTGTAGGAGACCCAAGCGTCGTCTGACTCGTTATCCTCTGTTGGCTTTTCCGTCACAGTTTTATTCTCCGACTCGCCGACGCCGTCGCCTTCGTTCAAATCACGATACTGGGGATGATCGAGCTGCACGGGCGCCGGCTCCTCCACTTGCAGCTTCAGTTCCTGCTGATGATCGACACCCAAATACGAGTCGGAGCGCAGGCAAACCGCAAAGGTGTAGGCGCCCGGCAGCGCGGGCGCCATGAACTGCAGCTTGATCTCCTTGGAGTCGACCAGATCCGTGATGTGACAGAGGCCCGTGATGATGGAGTGCTTGCGTCGGTCACAGATGTAGAGCCACCAGTACTCCTGCTTCCGGTCGGGAAACAGCGGACAGTGCACCTCGTGCGATACCTTGGAGGGGAATAGGACGGGCGGCTTCTGCTTATGCGCCGCCTGGAGGCGCTCCCATTCCTCGTCATCAGCGTTGTCCGGCTCGTCGGCGCGATCCTGGCAGCCATCGCCGGTGGCATTCGATTGTGTGCCGGCCTTTGTATGCTTCTTCCTCTTGGCCCTGCCGCCACGTCGACTGTGGCGGAGCCACGCTGCGCCCGGCCTATCCCCGGGCGCCGTCTCTGCACTGCCGGCGGCGGCAACATCCTCGGCTGCGGCTTCAACGCCAGTGTCGAGCAACGTCCCCATATGCAGGCGTCTGATGGTAATGGTGGCGGTGACAATGGATCCAGCGGTCACCACACGGCCCTCCCAATCGTCCAGCACCTCACAGTGGACGGACATCTCGATCAGGGGCATGTGGCCGAGCACCCGCATGGCATTCGCATACTCAGCGTCATTGAGGGTGCGCAGCAGCGTGCGACGATCGCGTGGCGACAGCCTGGCGAAACGCTCCATACTGTTGCTGGCGATGGCCAAGTCCTTGCGCTGCCGGACCAGCGCATGGACAAGCGGATCGTTGATATGCGGCAGCTGCATTAGCGGCGACTTGTCCTCCCACACCGCCTGGACGAGCATCGGCAGCAGCTTCATCACATTCTCAAAGGCCTCGGCGTTCGGCTGGAAACCGAAATGGCCGCAATATGCCAGCTGCGCCATTTGACTCAGGGACTGGAGCAGGCCCTCGATGAGCTGCGGACACAGGCGCACAATCAGCTGGCGGTCGCGTTCCAGCGTCGCCGGCTTCAGGCTCAGACGCGTCAGATGCGCATGCAGAATGGTCCTGGCCTTGATCGCGTACTTCAGGCAGAAGGGTTGCTCCTTGGTCCTGACATCGAGTCTACTGAGGTGTCGCAACAGGGCACGCAGCTCCAGGTTGTCCGATTCGCGCATCACCATCGCCGCATTGTATCGGCGATTGAATTCAAAGCTGGCCGACAGCAGCATCAGGGCACGCCTCACCCCCAGTGGCTTATTTTGGTGTAGGATCAGAAACTGTTGCTCGATGGTGGCCCTCAGCACCTGGCCCGAGTAGCGCATGGCGCCCCGCCACCAATACGACACCACCAGGGGCAGGGGCACGGTGATGAGCACAGCGTAGAGGCACAGCACCCACAGACCGTACTGCGCAGACACCAGCCATGCGGGCAGGGCGATACCAAGGGTGACCACCTCTGGGCCATCTGGTTGCCCATTCTGCTGGTAATTGTTCAGCCCATCGCCGGTGGTGAGCTCCGTGTAGGCTTTGGTCAGCCGAATGAATGCCGCCTGGTCGCCGGTCACTTTGTCGGGATGTAGAACCAGCACGAGCTGGTGGTACGACTGACGGATCTCCTGCAACGTTGCCTCTGGTTGCACCTTTAGTATGTGGAATGGATTAAAGATGTCCCCCACCGCGGGCACCTCGAGGTGCTGCTCCTTGGACGGCGCGCACACGGCCAGGGAGGCCAGCAGGATCCATGCCGCAACGAGGCCTACGCGAAAGAGCCACAACAGAATGGGCCGCAACGGATGCACCTTGGACAGACGCTGGTTCTTCTTGATGCACTCCCCACAAAGGCATCTGATTCTGTTTGTGATGTATTGTGATCCGGCATCGATGGCTTTAGGCCAGCCCAAGTAGGACAAGGGTATCATTGCGATGGTCCAGGCGGCCAGCCACACAAAGTAAAACATTGAGCCATCATTGTCATAATGGAAGTGTGGATCGTCCATGATCTACAGGATGTATTTGGCAATCAATCAATCAATCAATCAATCGAAGGTTCCGTCTTCTTTTCGGTAGTGGCAGTGGAAGCGTCTTACCTTTACGCCCTGTGCGGGGAGTGTGTGGGGTTGTCAACGCTTTTTGCTTAATTTTGGATAACTATTTAAACTATTTAAAACTGTGTGAAATCAAAGAATCAATGCGAAATTCTAGCTATTGCTAGAGCAACTATTCTATGAATTGTGTGTTTAGTTTTTACTCTCTTTGTAGAGTGATGGGAAATGTTCCAGGGCCTGCTCTCTCTCCCAGTATTTCTGCTCTGTCGCCTGACGATCAGGCAACGCTCTAAGGATGCCACTCTGATGTTTTTTTGGCATTGGTTCTGCATACTGGCACTTTTCTTTACTTTTGTCTACTTTTTCCGGTGCTTTTTCTCCACTTTATTCAAATGATTTATTGTGTGCCATGAATGGCTGACTAATACCCTGTAAAAGTAGAGTACTAAAGGGACATTAATTTCACCCCCCCCCAAGCAGCGAGTATCCTTTGGTCCAGCCTGCAGTCCCAGCTTGTATTAGTTTTGATTTGTTGCAGTTGTTTTTGTTTCTATCCTGCACAACAAAAAACCATTTCATTTGAATAATGTAAAAACATTTTCGTTACCCAACCAGCAGCCAACACCCACCCACCACCCACCACCCACCATTACCCACTGTCATTGTTCCTGTGAAGTTCCCATAGTTTTTTTTTTTTTTTGTTCTGGGTTTTTGCCATTTAAACTGCTCTCCAACTGCTGACATTCGGCAGAACGAAACGAATTGAATGCCTTTGTCTGCCGACAGAACTTGCAGGACCAATCTTATAGACAAGGCACTGGGGGGGGTGGCATGGCATGGCATTGATTGCCAATTGATGGACAGAAGACACAGACAAAATAGACACACACACAGATGCCCAGGCAAAGGTTGAACAAAAATTATTACCAGGAATCAGAGGCAGAAGCAGAAGCAGCTTTAATCGGTGTCCAATTGGAGGTAACAACTTGATTGTCAGCAGGTGGCATTTTCTAATATATGTAAATTATTTTCTCGTGTGCCCAATTTTAACTCCCCCCCCCCAGTACCACCCTTCCCAAAAAAATCACCTGCAGAAGCCCCTAATTATGTGCACTTTTCTTTGTATTGTTCGTGTGGCAGCAAAAAAAAAAATAAAAAGAATCGTTGCCTTTGGGACCGGCAGAAGGACATCCATTGATAGTGGGGGTGGGGGTGGGGTGGGGGGGCATTCGTTTCGCCTAAAAGTGTGCCACATTGTCCGTGTCGTAGATATTATTGCTTGTGTCGTATCAATTGGGAGCAGCAGTCAGAACGGGACACTACGGGACACGTAGTATGAAATGAATAATTTGTTATCCCCGTCCCCGCCCAGGTGCTTCTCTATTTTGCCTGATTTTGTGGCACATGGTAATTGCCCCAATGGCAGACAATATGTTTGTGGGTCACACTGACTCCCCCACAAAGAACGGCTTCACATTTGATTAGATTAGTGACTAATCAGCAAGCGCGTTTCGCTTTGTCGATTAGTGGCCAGCAATTAATTGAGATGCTTCTCTAGGGTTTAATCACGCGCTTTGATTGATTTAAATGGATTTTGTGTGGCCATTTCGACACATGCCAGTTATGGCTATTTAATAATCGGGTTATGGCCTCTATAGGCACGCCGATACAAATTATTATCGAATATTTTTGACGATTTTTGTGTTGCTTTGTTGTTATATAAGAAAAATTATAGAATAATTATTAAATTATAGAATATTTTGTATCAATTATGGCATCGATTTTTGATAGATAATGCGGCATTCAGTCATTCCATTTACAAACCCAACCCCCCACTTTTAAATGATTTTTTATATGATTTTATTAAGAAATCAAAAAACGAAGCAAAAATCCAAATTTCGCATGGTATCGATAATTATCGACTGGGTGGGCAGCCTGTGCTCTTTTGGCAACTGTACTTTGGTGCAATCCGAAGCCATCGGGCGCTCAGCAAATGGTTTGGTTGCAACCAGAAACCGACGCCAACAACCAGTAGCGCTTGCTGCTCTCCCACGCCGACCGCGTGCGCCGCCTCCTCCGTAATGTGCCAACTGTTGAGTTTCCTTCCGCTTCCGACAGACGCCGACAGAGACCTGGCAGAGAGTGGGACAGCTGCAGCCAGAGAGTGCTCAGAGCGAATGAGATGGCTAGAGGAGAGAGGGCGCGTGGGCGAGTGGATGAGTGGGCCCCAGAGAGATAAAGAGAGAGAGAGAGAGAGACAGAGAAGAGCCTGCCTGATATGGCCTTTTAGCCATAATCTATCTCCCTCTCTGTCTGGCGCCCACCCACACACACCGCTCTCTCGCTCACAGGCGGCCCCGGCCGGCAGGCAGGCCGCCTGCTTACAGGTGTTTATCGTGTGGCCCTCGTGTGTGTGTGCGCGCCTCGGCTCCTAAAACCCGAAGATGCCTTCTCTCGGCTTTTTGGCTTTCGGGTCTGTGCGGCGGTCGTCTCTCGCCGGCGTGTACGGGTGGGGATTGCGCCGTTATATTCCTGGCGTCGCTGCGCTTTGGCCTCAGTTTCATTTGAACAGTGGACAAGGCACGTTGTGCCCCACAGCAGCGAACAAAAACAAAACACTGAGACTCAACTCCAAAAACTCAACTCAAACCAAAACCGAAACCGAAACTGAAAAACTCAACAGAACCGACACGGAACCGAACTCGCTCTCTCTCTCTCTCTCGCTTCATCAGCCAACACACACGATTGCATCTTCGATTGCGCATATAACTTCATTCCCGACAATCCTTCTTGACAGACATCGAAACACTCTGAACAACTCAACATCAAAATTTCCAAAAACCTTAAAAATAAATTTTTTTTAACTACAAAATTTTCTAAAACAAAATTTTCAAATCAATTTTTTTTTTCTGTGAGTGTTTGTGCTTTTAAAAATCTTTCAAAATCCAAACTTAACTTCGTAATTGGCCCAACAAAACAAATTCGAAATAAATCCACGAACCAAAGTTAAAAATTAAAAACAAACAAACGTATTTTCCAAAAAAAAAAACAACTCAAAATTATTGAAATTGTTGTAAACTTAAGTTTGGTTTTTCTTGGTTTGACGCTTACGTTTCTGTTGTTTTTGTTTTGTGTTTCCTGTGAAAACTAATTCGATTCTTTCACGTACAAACATGTGCACAAAATTCTCGCTGGATTCGAACGACTAGAAAGTGCGTTGCGTCCGTTAGAAATTTCGGATTCAAAAACAGGTAAATATTTGAATCTACTTTCTTTGAATATTTTCAAAACTAAAATTTATGCTGCAAATTCTTGACTAATTTCGTGAGAGTGGTGTGTGATGATGTGTGGTGAAGTGTGTTGTTTGGGCATCTGAAAACAAACAGTTTTCAAACGGTTGTTCCAGTTGTTGCTGAAAGATTTAATTGAATATTTTTGATAATGAATTTTGATAATGAATGAAATGCACTTTTGTGATAAGATAATGATAGATAATGAATTTTGCTAATGAATGAAATTCAGTTTAGTGATTTTTTTTGTAAATATTTGAATTTTTATAGGATCAATTTAGTGAATATATTAAAATATTTTAAAAAAATCTGAAATTTTTCAAAGAAAATACAAGTTTTTATTTATTAATTTGGTTTATGTTAAAAACTTTAAAAACAGTATAGGATGGTATGTTAGCCATAGCTGCTAAGACTTTGGGCTGAAATAAAACGTAAATGTTTTAATTATAAAAAGTAAATCTTAAAAATGAAACATTTTATATTGAATTTTTGTTGCAAAACTATCACAAATTCTTAACTGAAAAAGTAACAGTATCCGTAAGTATACCATAAATATATTACCGTTGCATATTAATTATTCTACATTTTTTTGTTTACATATTCTATAAACATTAATAATTTATTTGTGAATTTTTTATACAATACTTTTTTTTTTATAGGTTTTTTTAAATAACATTTTCCGTTTGCGCTTGAACAATTCTCATTTTCATTTCCAGTTACTGTTTTCTTAACGGAAATCAATTGATAAGCAAATTGTCTGCGAAAAGAAATAAAACAAAAAAGAGATCCCTGTCCTTCCCTATTAAAAGATGATTTAAATCACACTGCTAACATTTTCTGGCCTTGAATGCATGGCAGGAAAAACTACATGCAACAAGAGCGACTCTTTCTGTGGCTTAGGATCTCCTCTGTTGGCATGCGGTTGCCTGCCTCGTTAACCAAACTTGTTGCCACATTCACACACACAAACACACACACATATGAGGGGGCAGCAGCATTCTCCTCTCGTCGGGTCTGCTCTGTTCCGTTCCGTACGTGTCCTTTCGCTAATCGCTGCGTTTAAGGAACTGCAGGATGGCGTCGGAGGCTCTGCCTCTGGCCGACTAGCTGCAGCGCTAGTTTTGGCGCGTGACCGGATCTTTCCGGAAACTGAGGGCAACAACAAAATTCTTTGATTTTTCCTCAGACACAGCAACAGGAAAAATGCAATAGCTGTGGCGTATACGTGATATTTCTGTTTCTGTTTTCCTTTCTGGTGTTGTTCTTTCAAGGCCATCCTTAAAGCAGTTGCATACGCATTTTAAGGCCCGAAAAAAAGAGAGCATTTGAAATGGAAATCCATGAAAAAACATTACCTGTCGTTGGCTAATTTAATTGCAATTATGTTTCAATTGGGATTAGATTTAATTGGGATTAGACTTAATTGCTTGCAAATGCCGGCCATTATGGCATAGGTATTTTTTGTTCAGTTTATCACTTAATTTACAATTCATTTTGGATACTGTTTTTGAGGATATAAATTTATTCAAATGGAATTTTAATTTAAATATTTGCTGTGCACCTAATTGTTTTGCGCCGTTTATTGTGGGATTTATTGGTGGGTAAAAAACTAATTGGAAAATCTCCGACACTTAAATCGATTATTTATAGTTCTCCGTTGTTAGAGTTCCTCGCTACTTGAACTGCTTTCCCGTTGGAGTTCCATTTCTTAGGAGCTTAGCTCCCCGTAGATGCAGGACTTGTTCTTTCATAAGTGGGCTGCCTTACCCAACTTTGATTGATGGCAATAGGACGGCAAATGAAAACCCCTGTATCCCTTTCAGAGAAATTGTATCCAAAGAGCCCATCGTATGCATCGTAATGATATCAATTGGCAGCGCTATCGCGCATCAA